CGGGCGCCTGGCCCTTTAAGGGCCGCCCCCGAGGAGGTGCCAGCCCTGGGAGCTCTGGTCTCTCCTTCCTGGTCCTGCTGGGCAGGGACCGTCCGTGTGGCTGTGGGAGGGCCCTGTGCCCAGGTGCCCCCGGCCTGACCCCATGGCTCTGGTCACAGTGAGCCGCTCGCCCCCGGCCAGCGGCTGCTCCACGCCTGTGGGACCCACGGTGAGTCTGGCTCTGCTGCGCTTCTGCCCACGCAGTTGGCTGCCAGCTGGGCCCAGGGGAGCGCGTCTTGCCTACGGGCAGCCTCTCTTCAAGGCTGGGGGTGTGGGGAGGGGGACCCCAGGTCTCAGGCTGGAGGGTCCTGGGGGGATCTTGAGGCTCCCAGGAACTTTGACCAAGGCAAGACCCGGAGCCCTGGGCGCCAGACCAGCCAGCGGAGGCCCTCCCCCCTTCGTAGCCCAGATGTGGGCCAAACTCTAGCACTCCGCCCACCTTTACCGCCCTGCTGCCCTACCTGGACCTGGGCCCAGACTCCCCCAGCGCCCCGGTGGGGAGTAGACTGGGGTGGGAAGGGTATCTGACGCCTTTTCTGGTTCCACTCCCCACAGGGGTAGGGGGGGAAATTCCCCCCACCCCAGCATCCCCTGACTCTGCCCTGGGGGCTGCTTTCCCAGCAGGACCAGGCCTCCAAGCGGAGAAGCAGGCTCCAGCGAAGGTGAGCTTCTCCCCCCAACGCAGACGCCTCCATCCAGGGCTCAGGGGGATTGATGTTTATGGAGCACCTGCTCGGTATGGGCACTGGCCACTGCCATCCTGGAGGGCTCGCAGCCCAGCCAACTACTGGATGTGTGGCGCAGTGTTCCCAGGGGCATGGCTGGCTTGCAGCTCTGGCCTGGCTGCCTTTGTTTTTGTCTTTCTCCTGGGTAGTTGGGGTTCCTTCACCCACTATCCTAGACCGTGGCTCAGGCCAGTGGTCACCAGCCAAAGGGCAGGATGGGACCACAGGGCCTGAGGACTCCTGGGTCCCCATCAGGTTTACAGCATCTTTTGAGTTAGGCAGGTGGGAAGGGAAAGAGAGCAATGCCCAGTCCCCTCAGACAAAAATAGATGGGCTGGGGGCTCAAGAGCCTCCAGGGCAGTGGCTCTCAAAGTGTGGTGGCCACATTACCTGAGAACTGGCTGGAAATTCACATTCTCAGGCCTCCACACTCCATACCTAGACTTGACGCAGATGGGTCCCGCCACCTGTTTTAACAGGCCCTCCAGGTGATTCTGATGCACCCCTGTCCTAAGGGGTACGGCAGACCTTAACGGTTTCCCCATTGCCCTGCCAGGCAGAGCTTTGCAGTGCTCCATGGGGCTGTCCTGGGACTGCAGGACGGAGGGGACAGTGGAGATACAGCTGAGCCCAGCCCTGAGCCAGCAGAGGAACCCTCGGGTGAAGAGCAGCTCCACGGGGACCAGACAGACAACGGGCTTGGGCCCCAGAGTGCCCAGAAGCAGGAGCAGAGCCAGCACCTCCACCTCATGGTGGAGCTGCTGAGGCCTCAGGACGACATCCGCCTGGTGAGGGGCCCTCCAAAGCCCTTGGAGGGGGAAGAGAGCCACCCCTTGGTTGGGGGGAGAATGGAGCCAGTGAGCAGTATTATGAGGGCAGGGGGCACCCTGGGGGAGTGAAGGGGTTACCCAAACCCTGACAACCCTGCTGGAGTTGTCTTAACAGGATGAGGTCCTGTCTGCAGGTCTCCAAAGGGCTGGGAAAGGACAGGGAGGTTTGTTCTGCATGAGCCCATAGGGCCCAGTTAGGTCCAAGAACTGGGATTACACAGGGGCAGGTTTCTGTGCAACCACAGCAAGACCTCCCCGACAGTGCGAATTGCCCATAAATGGACCCGCGCTCAGGGGGCCTGCTGAGCGTCCCCGGGCAGCTGATGTGCTGGAGGGGCCCGTGGGGGTGGGACACAGGTGGGAGCCCGAGGACTAGCTCCCAGATGCCTGTGGGACATCTCACTGCAGCAAAAACGGGAAAAAGAAGGCGCAGGCTTTTGTGAAGCTGAATTTCTTCCATCGAAACACCGTCTTTTATTGTGAGATTTGTCCTTCATTTTTCTTTGGTGAGAAACATTTCTTGAAAGAAATGATGGTAATGGCAAGTGAAAGGGTTTATTTTAAACCTCCTTCCTAGGCAAAAATAAAACATGGGCAATCTCTGTCAGGCCCATTTGCCCCTTTTTCCCCACACATCCCCCCCTTTAAGAAAAATCTTTAAAAACATTTTGTTGGACCATAAAGTCCAAAAGTTAGGAACCACCAGAATGTAACCACTGATCTGCTGTCTGGGAAGAAGGGAATGGGCATGGCAGGAGCAGACAGCAGGTCTGTTCTAGGCCCAGGTGTGTGTCCAGGTGGGGGTGGAGGACGCAGGGTCCTCCAGGCCACTGTGACCCTGGGCTTCTCTCTCCCCATCTTCCTCAGGCAGCCCAGCTGGAGGCAGCACGGCCTCCTCGGCTCCGCTACCTGCTGGTAGTTTCCACAAGAGACCGTGTGAGCCAGGATGAGACAGTCCTCCTGGGGGTGGACTTCCCTGATAGCAGGTGGGAGCAGGGAGAGGAAGGGAGGGGGGCAAGGAAGTGAGGCACTGGGGGACAATGGCTTTCCTTCTGTGTCCTGCCAGCTCCCCCAGCTGCACCCTGGGCCTGGTCTTGCCTCTTTGGAGTGATACCCAGGTGTACCTAGATGGAGATGGGTAAGAGATGGCAACTGGAGAGAGGGGAAAGGAGAGGGGAGAGGCCACAGGGTGTGATGTATATGATGGAGGGGTGGGGCCCTGGGGAACAGCTACAGACTCCAGGCTGGGTGTCTCAGCTCTACTTCCAGTTCACTGTGTGATCCTGGCAAGTCGCTTAATTTCTCTGGGCCTCAGCCACCCCGTATCTGACAAAAGTAGGCTTATTTTGAAGCTCAAATGATGTGTACATATTCTGAGGACCAGCCTCATGAGGTATCTAGTGGGTGGGCCTCTCAGGGGCCTGTCCCACCCCTACCTGGTCTTCCTCAGGGGCTTCAGTGTGACGTCTGGTGGGCAGAACTGCATCTTTAAGCCGATTTCCATCCAGACCATGTGGTAAGAGCTGGGGTAGTCCAACCTCGGGATGGCCTTTCCTCGGAGGTGGCTACAGGGTCCTGGTAGGGGCATCAGGGAGGACAGTGTGATCCAGCCTCTCTTCTGTCCCAGGGCTACACTCCAGGTATTGCACCAGGCATGTGAGGCGGCTCTAGGCAGTGGTCTTGTGCCAGGGGGCAGTGCCCTCACTTGGGCCAGCTACTATCAAGACAGACTGAGCTCTGACCAGAGCTGTCTCAACGAGTGGATGGCCATGGCCGACCTGGAGTCTCTGCGGCCTCCCAGTGCTGAGCCTGGCCGGTCAGTGCAGGAAGGGGAGGAAAAGGGGGGGGTGCCATGGCAGAACAGGGAAGGGGCCCCTGGACTGACGGGCTTGGCTTCCAGGTCCTCGGAACAGGAGCAGATGGAGCAGGCTATCCAGGCCGAGCTGTGGAAGGTATTGGACACCAGCGACCTGGAGAGCATCACTTCCAAAGAGGTGAGCAGGGTGCCAGGGCCAGGGAGGAAGCTGGGCCCGGATAGGGTAGAGGGACCCTCCAGCTGGAGGCTAGAGTTTTCCTTTCCTTGGAGCCTTCCCCCCTAGCTTTCCTCTTGTCCTAACTCAGTCCCAGATGCTTGGCCTCAGCAATTCTGTATAGATGGGATGGGTACTATCCTCAGAAGCCCTGGATGAAAGAGTGGGGCATCAGGAACCTCTCCTTCCTGCCTGCAGATCCGCCAGGCCCTGGAGCTGCGCCTGGGCTGCCCTCTCCAACAGTACCGTGACTTCATCGATAACCAGATGCTGCTGCTCATGGCTCAGCGAGACCGGGCCTCCCGCATCTTCCCCCACCTCTACCTGGTGAGCTGCGGGGTCGGGGGTGGGAGGTGAGGAGGGCTGCAGCCCGGCTGAGGGAGAAGGATGCTTCTCTCCCTGTCCGCAGGGCTCAGAGTGGAATGCAGCGAACCTGGAGGAGCTGCAGAGAAACAGGTAGGCTTCCAAGCCCCCTCGGGACTGCCCACCATCTGTCATCCCCTTTGCTTGGCGTCACCTCAAGGGGCGACCTGGTTAGAAACCCCCAGACTGCCTTCAGCAGCTGCTAACTCAGCTTCTAACTCTGCCCCCGGGCTGTTCCCCTCAGCATGGCTGTAGGCCAGGCCAGAGCAGCCACCTTGCTGGCCTGCTGGCAGCGCCCTGGCCCACTCTTCTCCCTCCCCACACTGTAAGGGGGATGGAAGTGCCCCTCTCCTGGGGGGAGCTGGCTGCCTGTGCCCTTAAGTTCCTGTCATCTGTCCTCCTGTTATGGCCCCTGCCACCCAGCTGCTGCAGACCCACCCAATCTCAGCTTAGCTCAGCAGTTGTTCTCAAACTGACTTCCGAGAATAACAGAAGGCTCAGTGTTGCAATCGACCCCAGCACCTACCTGGACAAGAGGGGGAACAAGCCCAGTGAGGTGAAATGATCGGCTCGGGGCCACAGGCATCACCTCCTCCCACCATAACTGTGCCACCCCCACCTGACTCAGAACCAAGCACTGAACAGAAACGCCCAAGTTGGCCGGTCCGCTGGCCACTGAGCCTGGAGTGCCTGGCCACGTCAGCCTAGCCTCGCACTCCCTGCCGCAGGGTCAGCCACATCTTGAACATGGCCAGGGAGATCGACAACTTCTACCCCGAGCGCTTCACCTACCACAACGTGCGCCTCTGGGATGAGGAGTCCGCCCAGCTGCTGCCTCACTGGAAGGAGACGCACCGCTTTGTGGAGGCCGCAA